AACTGGAGCACGAGGAAACCAAAAACCAGAGCTCAAGACTTCCAATTTGAGGCGAGTGACAGGTTCAGGTGGTTAATTAACAACCGATAATATAATGCAATGAAGCTAAGCCTCCAGGCGACTGAATAATAAGGTTTTGACAGACTCTGGGACAACAGCCTGATTACTGGCAGGATCCCGCGAGGTTTGGGAGCTGTAAACAGCCGTGACGGTGTCAGGAACATCAGCGGGGATCTGAGCAAAGCCGGGTTGTTTTGACACACCCAAAAAACCCGCTGACACGATGTTTTAACTCCACACAGCTCTCCGTAACTCTGCCGACTGTTGTCATCCAGGAACGGAGCTACTTCCTGTGCAAGCTTAATAAAGATGACATCCCCTTAGGAAGATCAGCGGCGTTTTAGGACTTGCTTGTTACAGCATCTGGGACTAATACTACAAATGTGACAGAGTTATTGTGTCTGGGTTGCCAGGTGATGGTGTCTGTGAGGGTTAAGTACAGGTGGAGTTCATGTGAAGTGGGGTAGGTCAGCGATTAGCACTCAACAAGATGTGAGACACCTGATTTTGTTGTTTAACCCTATAATGCCAAATGTATCACGGTTTCTGAAATGTTTTGCATCTGACTCCTTTTGCATAATTTAATGGTAAAAACTTTGCTCAAAATCGTATTGTACACAATCAGATACACCTGATAACAGGGGGCAGAAGACTAAATAATCTGGACTTATCGCATAGTAATACATTATCAATATCAAAAATTTATTTCTGATTTTTCTTTTTACATATTTTGTTAAAAGGCCAAATAAAGACAGGTGAGAAAGCCAAGCCGAAATGCCTACCATGTTTTTTATGTCTGAGTTTATCGAACCTCAAACCTCTTCTTATTCCACATACTATCCCTTTAAAATCATATCTAAAAACTATTAGCAAATTTACCATTTTTACCCCAAAACTTGTTTTTTTTCCTACTGGTGGAACAGTCCTTTTTAGCTAAATTTCACAAGTTGTAAATTCAATGGGATGTTTTCACAAGTTGAGATGTTTACATCATACGTGATTTTATATAAAGCCGCCACAGCTACAAACAGCTAAAAAGCTAATTTGAGAAGATATTTTAACACGACACAGATGTAGCTGAGTGATGTCTAATAAAGAGAGAGCAGCACACAAAATATGTGCGCCTTTAATATAAACTACCTTAGATTAAGAAAAGTAGGAATTAATATAATGTGTCTTTGTTTCGTACTTGGATCAAAATTTCCAGTCCCATAAAAATAGTTTTCCTCAGTTTAAAGAATGTGTTTTCAGTTTAAAGCTTTGGATAAAACAAACTTTGATTAAGGTTTACAGTATGTATCAAACTCATTTATTAGTCAAAGGGTTAGATATTGTGATACAATTGTGTCCTTAATTCACCTAAATCAAACAGCCATGATATACTGAAGGCTTTTGTGAAATGTCGCCTTCAATCAATGAAATCCTTGAGGTCTGATGCCACAAAGGTGGATTTCTAGAAGAATTTTTTCACACAGCACAAACAAAATTTGTTTTTCTTTCCTTTGTGCAGCTTTTTATTGTTGAAGCCCAAACTGCCTTGAACCTATTTCTTTATATATATATATATATTTTTTTAATCGTCCTCAAACTTACCTGGACAGCCTTCTGAGACTGGATGTCTACTATGAGCACTCGATCTAAGGTTGGCTGGGTCACATAAATAAACTTGTCCTTGACGTTGACCGCGGATGACCACACACACCTCTGGACCGTCTCCCCAGGGGAGGTGGGGCACACCTCTTCCTGTAAAAAACAAAATGACACACACGCAGTTTGAGTTAATTCATGTTCACATTACAGAGAATTACAACTAACAACTAACAGGTACAGTTTTTCTGCGTTGTTTACGACCTCGCTCTTATCACTGACGTGAACTGTGTTACCTGGGAAACTAAGATAAATGGGCTTTGCAAGTTCCTCCAAAATCTCTGCAATCACTCCCATTTGTTCACAAATAATCCACAGAACAGTCTTCAGGCTCCAGCCCTTTCAGCTATTGTCTTCCTGGCCAAAAGGAGTCTCCCTGGCCCTCCTTCTCCGGAGCTTTCCGCCCCTTCCCCATCCCCTAAGCTGTGCCCAGTCATCGGATCCAAACTCAGTTGGATGAATGATGGCACTGCTGGCCAAGAGAGGATGAATGAAGGGCTCCGAAACTGTAGGATGGGCTGTCATATTTACAACCACACAGTAAGTCTACGACAGGTGCAAAATGGGCTTTGTTCCTTGGAAGTTCATTTTGTGAAATGTGAAATTCGCTAAAATTCACATCAAGGATGTTGAAAACGGATGAACTCAGAGGTTTGATCTAATTTCCACGACAGGCCTCAGCTCACTTTTTATAGCTTCCTCATATGTAGCCAGATACCGTATTTTCACACCCTTTAGGCGCATACAAAAGTCTTTTTTTTCTCTCAAAATGTGAGGCGCGCCCTTTGGGGCGGGGCGCCCTTTGTGTTTACTGCGGACGTTGTTGAGGCCACCC